GGAGGGGGTGGGGGTGATGGGGGACGTGCTCCCCCAACTGATTATCACTGTTGAAGTCACAACAAAAAGTTTTACCGAGAGATCCGATCATATTTGTCAAAATTCAGAAAAGACCTTATTCGAAATAATTACCCTTTTTTGGTCTATAACTTTTTTTTGGGCCTCCCTCAACTAAAAATGGTTATTTATATTTTTTTCTAAACATAAAAAGTCCGTAAAAAAATTTGCAGCCCATTTGCAGGTGGAGCCGTGGTTCTGAATAATTACCATAGATTAAAATGTAAAATCATCGTTTGTAATAAAAATATAAGTATATGGTAAAAGTATATAAATAAAGTAATAAAACAAAAGATACGATGAGATTCAAATGATAAAAATCAATTAACAAAGTAAGGAAGGCCAATTTGAGCCCAAACTTGAGGTATAAAAAATTATATTTTATTCAATCACTAAAAATGTAATATACATTAAAATCAAACGTTTCGACTCATTTCGAGTCCTCAATGAAATTAAAAAAGATTAATAAATGACAAAGTTTCGAGAGGCGGAGCGATACGGTGAGTGATATAGTACATAAAATGCAAACAGATTAAATTATATATCTTAGAACGCATATGATATGAGTGCATACAGAGTCTTATAATACAAGGAAGATGGTATGGTATGGTAAATGTTATGATCGGACTCATTAGCGCAGATTCTAGACTCACTTATATGTATAGCTATGTGATAGTTTATAATAAAATAAAGAGCGTTGCTGGTGCAAAACCATATTGATCGGTAAAGTAAAATGCTGATAGAAGCCGGAGGAGCGATGAAAAAACCGACGAGGACGGAAGAAGTGAGTCCGGTGCGAGAGCGAAATACAAATACAGATAGAGTGTAACGCCCGATAAATAAGTGGATGACTAAAAAATGTGTGACGAAAAAATGAATGTTATTACTAGTGAAGGCCAAAAAAAAAACAACAAAAGGACGTGTGGAGAACAAATACTTATGGGAGTAGAAGCGTTAATGGTTAAAACTGAGATGATTAAAAGGTCCAAATATCAAAATATACAAGTCAAGATGATAAAAGAAAACAAACTGATCTGTAAGACGACTCAGCGACGAATAGTGGGAAACACAAGAGGTATAAATACATGTCGACAAACTAAATTAAAAACGAAGAGATCAAAGACAAAGAAAAAGTGAGGGTTAGGAAAAAGTATGATGAAAACAAGGAAATCGGATTAGGTATATCTATTTATAATCGGAAAATAAGAGTGGTCAAGGAGATTCGTGTCTTCCTGTAAATTTATGCCATTTTTTGCTGCTTAATATGCAGCATTTCTGATATGCATCTCTTAACGTATGAGGGCTCCTCGTCTAAAATCTGAACGTTGTCCCAATCAAACTCATGTCCTGTAAGGCGATGGTCAGTGAATGAGAGGAAGAAGCTCTATTTATGTTTAAACGATGCTCTTTGATTCTAGTTGCTAATTGTCTACTGGTTTGCCCGATGTATGAGGCATTACATGTCTTACAGCAAATCTTATAGATCACATTGTTATGTTTCTCAGCTGGGAGAGGATTTTTATATGTTTTAATGATTTTGTTGCGTTTGTTTGGACAAACGTATGCAATGGATTTGCTTATGTCATTGATTATCGGCAACTACTTTTCAGTGACCTCTCTAACATAAGGCACCATGAAAAAAGAAGAAGCGGGATGAGGGGAGCTCGTAGGGGAGAAACTCACTTTTTTATGAATTAAATTTAATTCTATTACGGATGGTCGTGAAAATGAAATCTAAGGGGTAATCATTATTTAAAAACATATCAACAATCAGTCTCAAGTTTTTTTCGTGGAACTGTGGATGTGATAGTCGAAAAACTGGATCCACTAAGCCAAAGACTCTATTTTTATGGGGTGTTGCGAAAAATAATTAAGGAACCTTCCTGAAAAGGATGGCTTCCTATACCAGTCAAAGACGAACTTCCTCCCCACTAAATTGATAGAAAGATATAAAAAGTTGATGCTGTTGTTGTTGCTCTTTTCAATTATAAATTGTAATCTTTTATGGTAGGAATTAAAGAACGAAAGAATGCTAAAAAAGGGAAGAAGAAGCTGCGAGGATCATGTCATCTATATATCTGAAATACATAGGCAAAACAATATGAAGCCATGGCCCTCTCGTTTAAGTCCTGAAGAACGAGATCCGCCAGAACGGGAGATAGGAGGGAACCCATCGGAGTACCAAAAGTTTGTTTGTAAATCTCACCGTCAAACATGAGAAAGATTGAATTGAGTATGAGATGGACATCTGTAAGGAATTCTCTGTACGGGATGGACATGTTATTAGAAATAAAATGCCATCGCTTTCCAATGCTTTTTATCGCCAAATCGTTCGGAACGTTATTAAAAAGTGAGACTACATCCAGTGAAACAAGTTGATGATGTTCTTCTATGATTCTGGATCTTAGCTTCTCTACAAGGTCATAACTATTAGCGATGTGCTTGTGGGCCTTGGGAATGCTCTTGAAAATAATATTATCCAAGAAAGAAGCGAAATCATGTAGAGGGCTGTTAATGGATGAGATGATCATTCTAAGAGAAACATTTTCTTTGTGGATTTTAGGAAGACCGTACGCTTGCGGAAGAACGCCATCGCTCAGGAGTAGTGTTCTTGATTTCGCTGTGGATATGTAATTATTCTTCCTCTATCGCAATAATAAAGAACGAAAGTTAAAAAAGTATACTTAAAATGTATTTGTCACACACACACACACACACACACACACACACATATTACCAAACTTTATACATGTACATGTATATGTATATGTTTAAGTCCGAGGTTTGGCAATTTAACTCCGGATTGACGCTGCTGTACTGGAGTCATGCAGTGATGCAAATTTTACGTTTTGTGCCCGCTGCCAGCGCGTATGAAGGGGGTAGCGTACACAAAACGCGAAACTTGCATCACTGGAGTCATGTAAAGTTAAACCAAAAGTAAAGCAGCATATAATAGTTCACAGTTTTTTCAATGTTGGTCAAGCGAAGATCGAACAGCTGTTAATTTTTGCGAAGGATATTATCGCGTATTTTGTGTTTCTGTCAGTCATCGAGCAACAAGTGAATATTAAATTTTGCTGTAAATTAGGGAAAACTGCAACAGAACTTATGAAATGTTGAAAACTGTGTACGGTGATAACATCTTAAGTCGTACTAGTGTGTTTGAATGGTTTAAAAGTTTTAAAGATAGACGTGAGAATGTTCAAGATGACGCTAGAACCGGACGTTCGTCGATCTCTCTAAATGTAGATTCGGTCGCAAAAGTTCCGGAAATGGTACAAAAGATCGCCGAATGATTCTCCGACTAATGGCAGATGAGTTGAACATCAATAAGGAGACGATTCGACAAAATTTATATGAAGATTTGGAAAAAAGATAGTTGGTTCTTGTTGCATAACAATGCTCCTTTCCATTCTACACTAATTGTGGTCATTTCTCATGAAACACAGCGTTGTTGAGATCAAGCACCCAGCCTATTCATTTGACTTGGCACTAGCAAACTTTCTTTTTCTTTTCTGAAGTGAAAACTGTTCTCAAAGAGGAACGGTTCCAGGGCGTAAAAGATATTAAGAAAAATGTAACCGCCGAATTAAAAGCAATTTCTTCGAACGCTTTTGCAGATTGTTTTCAAAAACTTTTAGAAGGTTGCAATAAGTGCATTAAAGTAAATGGAGATTACTATGAATACGTATCAAACATTTTTCATGTTACTTAAATTGTGTTTCTTTTTATTGTCCAATCCGGGAATTAAATTGCCAAATCTTGTATATGCATACCCTAAAAAATAACTTTTAAAAAAATTTTTCCTTGAAAAATAATTTTCATACAAAATAAAAAACTAAAATACGGTTTTCCTCTAAGTGAATGAATTTATAAGTACAATTAAATTGAGCTACTTTACATATATTATGTATACTGACAAACGGATTAATAAGTTAAAGCGATTAAAATTTTGTTGCAATAAGATCCATCTTGAGAATAATAAATACTACGTATGTATACTTCAAATTTCTTTGCATACATATAACTAATACTATAATAACATGTTGTGATATTGCGAGATATATATTTATGTTCTTTTTTAATAAAATAACGTATCAGTTATATGTATGCAAAGAAAGTCAAAATATACGGGGTGTTCCAAAGCACCCTTGACAACGCTTGTGAGCAGGTAGAGTACAGTAAACTGAACAGAAAAGACCTGTGCCATTTTTTTCTATAACGCTTAATAAAGGAGTTATTATTGAGTAAAGGGCCAATCAGCGCCGATCTCTACTGTTCAGTTTACTGTGTTCTACCTGCTCACGAGCGTTGTCAAGGGTGCTTTGAGACACCATGTATATACTATGTATACTGACAAACGGATTACTAAATTAAAGCGATTTAAATTTTGTTCCAATAAGATCCACTTTGAGAATAATAAATATTATGTATATATATACTTTGGCTTTCTTTGCATACATATAACTAATATTATAATAGCATGTTGT